GCGCTGATTCAGCGGCGGCAGCAGAGCCGCGCGACCCGGCTCGACACGGACGGTGCGTCGGTCGGCTCGAGCGCCACCGGTCCGATGGCGGCGCGCGGCTACGCCCTCGCCGCCGCCGTCGGCAGCTGTGTACAGCCTCTGGCAGCGGCCGGCGCCCTGTCAGAGGCTGTCCGCGTCGGCCGGTCGATAGAGCCGACGCCGGGCGCGGCGGCGCCGGCCGGGGCATGAAGGGGGCGGCACCGGCCGGCGCCGGCCGCCGGCGGACTGCGCCCGTCGCCCATCATGTTCGTCTGTCGTCTGCTCTGTCCGGCCGCAGCAGACGCACCAACTCCGTACAGAGAGACGCATCAATCCCCCGACTCCGGGACAGGCATACGGGCGCTACCGTAAGCCACCGGACGATGCCGGTCCGCCGCGTCCACGGCAAAAACTCCGGCCGGGGCCCGTTCGCGGTGATAACGCCAGGCCCCGTGGTTTTAAAGCCACCGCATTGACGGACGGCGGCGACCGAACGGTAGCCGGAAGCCACGCGTGCTCCGCGGGGAGGCGGGACGCTAAAACACCGTGTCTGGCCGGGTGCCAGACAGGAAGCGGGCCCGCAGAGGCCACAGCTGAAGCACCCACTTCACTTGAACAGGTGTTCCACCGGTTCCAACGCACATCCAGTCATTCAGCCAGATGTGAGGCTATCCCACAGCCCATCAACCGTCAACGGCAGACTGGGTATGTCCAGGACCGTGTGCATAACATTTGTAGAAATGGCCACTACTAGCGTGTCCCTGAAGAACTGAAAACGAATACCATCGCATCGTCCAGGCGAGAAAAAAGGGAATATTGTTTTACAGTCTCACGCATACATTACAGCCCCAGTGAGCGTGACTGATGAACCATTCAGCAGAAATATCAAATAGCGCAAGGACAAAAGCAGCCACCCTTGTGACATCTCGGCTCGGTTTGGAAAAGGACCATCATATAATACCGAAAAAATATGTGTTATAACTGTGCGTGATAATGACAAAACCTCTGTTTGGTACTCAAATGTCGCGACCGTGACAGCGACGACAAATGTTTGTTTGTATCAACTATCAGCAAAGTGCGTGGAGTTCATAATTTCACACAACTTTAATGGAATACTTTGAATTCTTCTTATGAAACCTGTGGAGTGTGGATCAAAGTTTTTTTTTTTTGAAAGCTTACTGGACAAGACACTAAACAGTAAGAAACCACCCCTTATGGTAACGTCTGTCCTTTTTTGTTGGCACAAATAAGTCATAGCATCTACACTAGGACTTGTGCATACATTTGGGCATGAAATACATATGTTGATCAGTGATTGCCCACACACAAGCCACTGTGCACTGGCCACTGTTACCAACTCATCCGAAATTCGCGGGTTTTCTCACATCAGCCTAATAAATAATGTGACTTATAACTTAAGTGTCCAATTGCCAATCTGTCTGTCAGCTGCTTTCTAGATGGCAGAGGGTTACAGATAACTGCATTTAGGTACCTCAGCCTTCTTAGAATTATCCCTTCTTGGAATTCTAGTTTGATTTCATAGCTCTTTTGGTAGATTGCATGGTACTTTGTGAATATATCATGGCTTGAGGTGAGACAACTTTGGTGAAATAGGCTAGAGATGCATTTGTGTTTGACACATGATTCAAGCTAAGATGCTCATTGCATATTCAATTGCCCACATGACAATTATAGTTTTAATGGTAGTGGTTACTGTACTTAGCTGGTTACCTGATTGTAATGGGCAAAATGGCACAATTAAAAGTATAATTGTGTTTTTACTCATTAGGTTGATTTGATGAGCATACACCAAAACAGTAGAAAATGCAATATCATTCCTGCCAGTACTTTTTGTATTGTCTAATTCCCACAAACCTTCCAAAAAATAGCTTTAACCAAGTAATGGTAAACATACGCACACATAAAATGGGCAAAGGCATCTCCTACCTTATTAAATCTAGCAGCTCACACAGAGGATACAAAGAGTTACACTTCATTTTGTCAGTTATTGAAACATGGTAAGGGTAAGGGCAAGAACCATAGTCTGGCAAACTTCTTAGATCTTTCTTAGGTTTGCTAGACTATAGTATGATCAAATGCTCATCACCAGCTCAATAATAACCATACATTTGCAACAGTGCCCCAAAATTTGTTGATTTGAGTGGGAAACGACATCCAAATGAAAATGATTTTCCACTCTCACCTCCAATTTTCAAGACGAATTTTCCACTCCCAATTCCACCAACAAAGAGCAGGTTGCATAAATGGTTGTTTTGAATCCTCTATCTGCCACAATTAGTAGATAAATTTATATTTTTGGTCCTTAGCCACTCTTTTTGGGCCTTATCTGACCAACAATTGTTCACTAGCATCCCCTTTTTGGTCAGCAATTTTCCCCTCTGACACCCAAGCAAAAATATAATTTTGGGACACTGATTTGCAATTGATTTACATAGGTAGATCTGCATTTGTGTCTTGTTCTGTTATCCACTGAAGGTAAAACAGCCACACATTCATCATATTCAAGACCATGTCACAAAAAAAGCTAACATTCAATACCTATCTTAGCATTTACGTTATTTCGTATTATCCAAAACTTATTTGTTTTTGAAGACAGACTCTGTAGCAGCCTCTGGCTTGGGGTAACACTAGGTTTGCTTTTCTTTTGTCTTGTTAATGGCATTGGCGGCTGAACGGGGAGGGCACCGTGCCCCCTTTTGATTTTGGCATTTTAACATTAGCCCTATGGGCGTTGCATGGAAAGAAAGGGACTAAAAGTCGGCAGTGCCCACTGCCCCCTTAATTGAAGGTGTTCTGCCACTACTACTGGTTAATGGTTAATGTTTTAAAAAAAAACAATGATCAAAATTGAGGGGAAAGCAATCACAAAAATACTACCTACTGCAATTGCATCAAAGAAGGTAGTTATTTGTTGTCAAAATGAGAGGCAATATTGTGTTTTGACTGAATAAATGCATTTCTCAATTAACACTAACACCTAAGGAAAAATAAGTTAATTTCCAAGGCAGGCCAGGCTCACTACTGATGCCAAAACTATCCACGTACCAACAGTAATTAAAATTCTTTAATAAATTATACAGTCATTAGATGAAATTAAATTTCTTGTATAAATTATAACAAGTATGTAAGTAATTATCCTCCTGATTGCCTAGCATTGATTTTTAAATAAGAAATAATCAATTCTAAAATTAAGAACAATGTTCATAATAAGTGAGCAGAACCAAGCATCCAGTTTTGGACGCTTGGGTCGCAAAGCTATGCGTCCTATTTCAACAACAAGTGAGCAGAAAGCCAATGGGACTACTAGGGGCTAGCCCAGCGAGATCACAGTTAAATTAATAATTTATTTGAAGTTAAAAAATGTATCATTAAGCAAAGCATAAAAAGTACAGGGCGGGGACGCCGCTCTCGACTTCAAGGGTGGGAGGGGCGACCGGCGTGATGGTTCACGACTTCTACGCGACTAAGTAATTCCGTGAGGCTTTAAACATGGAGCAAGATAAGTTCACAAAAGAATAAACTTACCTTTTCAGTCCTTTCCCACGCTGTAAAATACAGTATCTTCAAAAATAGCGTAAAAAACAATCCGCCTCTGACATTCGCCGACACACCCACTGAAGAAAGCGGCGTTTTCGACGCACGTATGACGATAGATGGCTTCCATTAAATATGGTAGCACTGCAATACGAAGGATTTATTGAAGGCTTCAAGAGATCCTCCTGACTATTGAAGGGAATTGCGAGAGTGCGAGAACTATAAAACGCGTTCTCTGTAGCTTGATATCAAGTATGTGCCACGTTTATCCCTGTTATGTTCTACGATTTCTGCATGCATAATGCAAACTAAGAGCTGTTGTTGACTCACCTCTCAGTTGACAAGCTGCCCCTCACCAGGTCAGAGTCACAGACCCTGAGCACTACTGAGCCAGCCAGTCGGATGCGTGAGAAGCGAGAAAGGTCCTGCCACTGGCCTCAGCTCCACATGCTTGTCATTCATTTGTCGCTACGGACACCTCAATAGTATGTGCCGGGCTACCCACTAGTTCCCGCAAGAGTCTCAATCGGGCTGTAGCGCACATCGTTCCCGCAGTAATTGCAGAAGGCCGCGGGTCTCTTCCTAACTTGGCGGAGGTACTGGATAAGCAGACCAGTGAACGGCGCGGATATGGTGGACGGACGCTCGCGAAGAGGGGGATCGACTCGATGGGGAGGGATACCCAGGCCTGGCCACCGTCAGAACCTCATGTAGGGGGGATGTGGGTGGGGAGGCAGGGGCTCGCTGATCACCACCATCCGAAGTGGAGCTCCCTGCGGCAGGGCGTGAGCCACTCAGCCTTTGCCTTTGAAGTTGTACCGCCCGAACTTCGTGAATGGCGGCACTCCGTCAACGGGCGAGGCCGGCCTTGACCGTTAGAGTGCGGGGGGAAAGCTAATCAAGGGCAACTAGGGATCGCTCGCGTCCTGGCTCCGTTGAGTCATTTTCAATCCTCAGGGCTCAGGACAGTCAAATTATTTCCATTCATGCATGAAACCCCGACGTGTGCAGCTCCCCAGGAGCAGGACTACGCGTGATGGGGTGACCGTTTGCGGGCTGGTTGGCCTGCCCACTGGATGGGCCCAGCCCCGACGACAAGTCACCTGTGTGACCACCCAGACGATTACGAACGTCTCCCCGAACTCCTATCATCCCTCCGGCTCTGAAAAGGCACTGTTGGAGTTAAAGACGGCCTGACCCCACAATAAGAAACGATCGTGCAGCTGCACGCATTATGGCCTGTCCATGGCGCAATTTCACGACGCTGAATGCAGCTTTCACGCGTTTCAGTCCGTCGCACATAAATAGCTATTAGAAGTCCCAGAGAGCTCACCATCGCTCATAGCTATGCCCTCGTCGCCAAAACATAGCTATGCCCTCGTCGCCAAAACAATCATAATCGAATATCAAACGAATAGAGACAAAGATTCGGATACGTTGTATATTCTGCCTAGTATACACACACATTATTTATACATATATATTGGATTGCTTCACCGCTCGCGGCGCGACTCTATGGCATTCTCGTGCATACTCTAGCGCGCCGCTCCCCTGACAATCAACACATCATCATCGGCTTGGAATGATCTCGAGGGCACGGCGATCGCTCGGTCCGCGGCGCCGTCACAACGCTCTAAACTGCCAGACGAACACATACACAGTCAGACACACGCACAGTCACGCGCCCAGGTGCTCCGAGCGCCGAGCAGAGGGCGCCACTGGCCCAGAGTGGGCGCCGCGTGGAGGCCGGGGTGATAAAACGGCCCTCGAGTACGCCGCTGAACGGGAACATCGGTGTTTGCGCGACTCGTGGCCAGCTGAAACCGGACCAGATATGCACCAATCAGATAGGCGATAACAAGACATCATGCACATTGAACATTTGACCCACTTGACAGCTAAAGGCGGTGACTGAATTTTGTGCCGATAAAACAACCGATACAATTAATATGACTGCAGCACTCTCGAAAATAATATGGAAAACTATCGATATACCGGAAATATCCTATGAACAACAATAAAACTGCGGCCCCTTCAAATTATCAACACATTGGTCATAGATAACACGATTCATGTTATCAATGCAATTGCTAATGCCTAGTTCCATCCACCCACGGAACACCCGCTCCGGTAAAATTTAACTGACAACTACCACCACCCCAGTCACGTACCAGGCGTCCTCCGGCACTCTCCTCACTCTCTGCCACTCAGTCAGCGTCTAGTCGTCGAACTTGCGGTTCATGTTGCGGCCGAAGAGCGACGTCCTGATCTCGGGCAGCATCTGGCCGGCCAGCAGGTCCAGTCGCGACTCGAGCGTGTTGACGATTTTGATCCGGTTACCCTTGGTGTGCATCTCGACACCGCCGCACCTGCCGCGCGAGAGGAGAAGCGGGAGCGTTAGTGCACGCCGATGATGGAACGGTAGCATATTTGACAAATCGATTAGAAAAATAACAAATAAAAACGCTACAATCGGTAAAGGTGCAGACAACATCACACGCCGAATCGGTGACAGTCACTACATTAAACAACACCGAGTGGTTGTCATTTAAAAAAGCCGGGCGGTAATCTGCCGTTAAACAACACTTAAAAACTGACATTACAACCGCACCTGTCACCGAACGCCCAACTCCTAATACGGCACCGGACACCAGCCCTACCACGGCGCCAGTAGCATCCCCTAGCACGGAACCGGACACCAGGCCTACCACGGCACCAGTCGCCTTCGCTAACACGGCACTTCCTCGACACGGGCGCGCCGTCTACTCACACGTTGGCCGGCAGGTAGGTGTCGTCGATCTTGATCTGGACGTTCATGCCCTTGGTGGCCTCCTTGTACTGGCGGACGGCGCTGTCCAGGATGCTCTGGACTAGGGAGAGGTCCGCTTGGCGGCAGCGCACCGTCACCACCGGCTCCAGCAGCTGCGGAAGACGGCGGGCGGCGGGGTTAGACTCAGCTGGGTACGGTACACGGATACCAGCGAGCAGCACACAGAGTGTGGTGGATACGGCGGTGTGGTGAACAAAGAACGGTGGTCGCTCTTTATTGTTAAATGACGTGGGACACTACGCGAATTTTAGTGAAGCATTCCATTAGATGTAGATAAAAACGACGATACGCGGTTATGAAAATGTCAAATGGAAGGAATAACAAATACCCCTTGGAATTGAGAAAAAATACATTTACAGAAAGTAAAAAAGTATCACAAATGGGTAACACCGGACCACGTCCGACCATGCATTTGAATTCATCAATCCCAAGGAAGTTCACATGAGTCTAAAAAATTATCCCCCATAGGAAGTACGGCACAGGCGTCGAATCCTATTTTTGAATTATGAATGAAAGCGCAGGCGCATCCTAGGTGCACCAGCATTCAACATCCATTTCGAAATGACGAATGTAACGTGATACCATGATTGCAAAATCAACTGTTGATATTTGTTTATTCCATTTTATAATTATCAAAAGTCCGACCCACAGATACAAAAGCCAAAGGTCATAAATCTTCAGCAGACCCCTGGACCATCATGGTTCATAGACCATCCTTCGTGGAAGTCAGTTGATATTTGAACTATCAGAAACAACCCCTGTACCAGCCTTCCAACAGCGCCTATGCCCACCTGGAAGAGTCCCTGGACGATGAGTGCCTGCAGCACGGGCCCGTAGCGCTGCGGGTCGCTGGTGATCTGGCCGAGCCGGCGGCGCGCCTCCTCCACCACGCCGTACACGTGGTCCTCGCGCGCCTTCAGCACCTTCAGGCGCGCCTGGTTCTGCAGGTTCGAGTTCTGGCTGCGGGGCGCAGGGAAAAGTACGGTCACACGGGCTCTATTCGGCCCAACACTGGCTCGGTGAGGGCACGAAAAAACTAAATTAAAGGCAACATGTTCATAGATATTCTCCTTCGACATTAAATTTGCCAGAAGTTGACCTGACTCTAAATGTTATCAGTGGACATGAGTTTGAACCAAGTACGGCTCTCGCGAGATTAAGGGCGCGGGTTAACCCGGCAGGTGGTGGGCCTCCTGGCCACCTTCCGCGCGGTGGGGGGGGGGCATTTTTTACCCCCCCCCCCGTATGTCCGAAACTACTGGACGCATCCGGAAAATTCAAACGGCGTTCGATAGCCCTGTCAAATTTGTCGAAGGAAACCAAATTTCATTGACCTCGGAGTCAACGATGACGTCACAGGTCAGGTCAAAGATAAAATGTTTCACCGTTCACGGGGCTTCTAGGGAAAGCGCTATAACACCGAGTAAAACGCATTTTGTCGAAAATCAGCGATAAGACGTCAGTTGTCTAGTACATATGTTGCTATTAGAGGTCACTGGTCATACCAGGTCAGGTCACAGGTCAGGTCCCCAAAGGTCACCAAGGGTCACCACATGAACCCAACTTTACTAAGGTTGTGCGATGCATGTTTTATGGCCAGTTTTTCATTTCCAACTCAATGGTGTTGGTTATAAGACCATCAGGTACAGTTTAGGTCACTTTCTGGTGGAGGTCAGGTCAAGGTCAGGTCAAAAAAGCTCAAATTTCAAAGTTAATATTTTTGCATAAAATGTGTATGGATTCGATGCAGCTCGTCACGGGGAGTCTAATGGTGGTCTTTGTTTTGCGCTACGAGGTCTAGAATTGCTAAAAATTGAGCTTGAAAATTTGACGTCATCAATTTTGAACAGTTTTTTCGCTATAACTTGGCCTTAAAAAAGAGGTATCGATCTCAAATTTGGTATGTAGATAGAAGGCGGTAGGGACTATCACATATATTCCGGTTTTTTCGAAATTCAAAAAACTTTTTGGATTTTTTGGATATTATATTTAAAAAATCTATTTTTTATTTTTGGGGGTCAAAGACCAAAAAATTCGAAAAACCGAAATAGCAATTTTGTAGCCCTCTTGATTCTACACCTTTTATGTCTGAAACATTTTTCTGTATCTCTAAAGCTGTAGGCCTGACAGCTCTTCCCGCGAAACCTTTTTTTGGGTCGAAAATGGCAGAAATGACGTCACTCTGACGTCATTAGCGGCCAACCAATCATAGCCTTTGGAAAAAAGTTTGGTCACCATGTGCGCTAGCTACTCCCGGGAGAGTACTGAAAGTTTGGTGACGATCGGCGCAGCGGTTCTCGAGATATATCGAAAAAACTAAAGAGGGGGGTGGGGCAAAAAATGCCCCCCCCCCCCACCGCCTGGAAGGTTAACCCGCGCCCTGCTGGGGGGGGGGTGTTTGAACACCCCCCCTTGTGGTTTTTCGCGAATATCTCAAAAACGGCGGCGGGGAGCGCCGCCGTTTTTGGTACACCTTATCATACATCAATTCTACACATGTTGTGAAAATTTCAGACCAAGGTCATTCAAAGTCAGGTCACCAGGTCACTTGAAGTGACCTCACCTCATAAAAAGTTTTAATGTCTGCCATAGCTACACCGAATGATCGATCACTTTGAAACTTTCAGCGATTGATGAGGGTAACAGTATCTATAAAATGTATATCTCGGAAGTTTGATATCGGTGACCTAAGGTCAGGTCAATTTTGCGACCTCCACATTATAAGTCAATGGGAGAAAATTGAAATGCGCCTCTTTTAGACGAAAGACATTATAAGCACTCCAAAACACTGAATTACAAGTGGTTTAGACACACTGAACATGAAAATGGTGTCCGTGACCCCTATTTATGCCCCTGAGGTCATCTCAGGTCACAAATGGTGTCTAACAGTTTTTCGCAAATAACTTTTGATAGAGGCATGCTAGAGCGGTGAAAACGCCTTAGATGTGTTCAGCTCGGCGAAACAGATCGACTGATATGCAACATGACCCTTTCCGGTCAGGTCATGACCTTGACCTGAGGTCAAATTTTTAAGTTGACCTTTCAAGGTCAAGTTACAGTTCATTCGATGCGTCTTGACAAGAGGAACACGATGCCGGTAAAAGTAAGCTCGTACAAGGCTTGGGTCAAAAGTTATTGCAGAAAAACTGTTTCTGAAAAAAATCGGCTATTTTTGCAGTTTTTGCCCCCTGCAGGCAACACCGTTGACGTTAGGTGAAATATGAGAGGGTTACTCAGAAAGGGCGTTAAAGGGACCCTCCCACCTTAACATTAGTTTTGAGTTGAGATAGCCAAATTGGTGGCCATGGCCTGCAAATACCGGTTTGGGCACTCGCAACATCGAAAAATGCTTTAATTCGAAGATATGGAATTTCAAACTTGCAGTTTTCAGATTCTAAGGGGCTAATGCATTGGAATGCCCCCTTAGAATTTGTGACGTCAGCGGAGATCTAACGATTTTTAAATCTTAGACTAAAACCATCGTTAACACGTGGTGGTATAGGCTGCTTTGCGCGTAACGTCTGCCGCACTTTAAGGCTGCCAAATTATTGCTTCCAAATAAAGTCGCTAGTAACAGGGGAGATCCCAAAAAGTAAACAAAAGTAAAAGCCTAATATCTTGAAAACCAGTGAATATTTTTCGGTGAAATTTGGTAGATATTCGTTTTCGCTCTTTCTGAACCAAGGGACATCATTTTCATGCCAATTCATTAACTTTTTTGAAGGTGGGAGGGTCCCTTTAATAGGGCTATCTATCGAATGCGCTTTTCCGCGGCGCTGTAGCTCTATTGGTTCCCGAGTTATGCGTTGGCTTCCTGGAAATTGTCGACATTCGACCTGAAATTCGGCGAAATTTTGCCTTCAATGACCTCTGGTGACCTGACCTTTGACCTGACCAAAAAAGTGACCGAAGTGATTTCATCATTATTTTTGGCGCTCTTTCGAACGCCGCCTTCCGCGTATCGCTACGTAGCCCAGGAGCCGAGTTAGAAGGGGGGGGGGTGTGTGTGTTCGAACACCACCACCCCCCCCACCCCCAGCAGGGCGTGGAAATCCAGGACCCCCAGCCGGGCGCGGGTTAAACGGTAGGTTTTCCACTTTTACATTTCCGGTTATATCTCAGGAACTAATCAATCTACGATGAAGCCATTTTACATGATCATGGCCGGCTTGTGAACCAACAAGTCGATCGCATCTTCAACACCTAAAAGCTTAAGACGACGAAGATATAGCCTGAAGTACACTAAATTTTATAGGTGCAAAACCTACCGCTAAAACCCGCGAGACCTGTACCTTAAGTACCTAAAATAAATTGCGGGCTATGATGGATATATGCGGGCATGCTCGATTTCCCGAAAAACGGTCATAAATCTGTAGACATAGAAACGGCATAAAAGTCATTTCTCGGTCCCACGGGGTGGGCACTGGGCAGGGTTGCCACCCATCCATTCACTGACAAGATATCGACCATAATGACGAGGCTGTGCAACACATCGGCGATAGAGACGGTTCAATTGTACCGCTCACCGTGCAGTGTTGATGGGATATGGTGATGCTCCAGCCCCCAAACTTTACAATTCTGTCCAATTATCATCTACATGAATCTAGAGAGGCATTTAACCTTCACCCTAGCAGCTTGAGGGAGGAATTTTGACCATGACACTTCAGTTTATACACGTGTACTGTGTAGTCACGAACATCATGGCGCTGTCAAAGTTGATTAAGACCCAGACACCCAGGTATGGTTCAGGAAACTTGTTTAGAAGTGGCAATCCTCAGGAAAACATTAATCAATTATCTTAAAACTCTTTCACTTCCATTTCCTCATAGGCATCAGACCTCATGTCAAGGGTCAGGCTTGTCAAGAACAAATACCTATACAAAATTTTCATCAGATTTTTTAGACATTGGTTAAAGCCTTAAGGGTTACACAACCCCATACACAGAGATGGTTGAAACAGCAACTACAATCTATCTCGTCATGAGAGACCACAAGAATGATATGTACTTACATTTTCTTCTGCAGGTTGACCTGTTTGAGCCTCTTGTCATAGTATTCCTGGATCTTGATGCGCTGCTGGTGAACAAGCCTGCCCTTCTCAATGTTGAACTCCTCCTCTGCTTTGGCATCAATTTCCTCCACCTTTTCATTGGCCTCCTGTTCTATGAAGGCCATCATATGCTTGATCTGCCAAAGTAATAGAAGAAATATCAAACAAGAGTCAGGGAATCATATCATATTTCACAAAATGTGGTTTAATCATCTTGTGGGTCTTGGCCTTCAAGTTGCTTCTAAGTGTCTTAATAAATCTTGATGTATCTCCTTTCCTATGTATTTACACTCTAAGTCAAGGTATAGACAAGGGAAAAATAGAGCATGCAGCCAGGCTATGAGCTGTTGTTGAATACCTATTCACAATTAAGTTACATTATTTTAGCTTCACACATATTTAACAAGCAGCTGACAGGAGCACATACTATCTACCTATGTACTTAATGCCAGCAGTGGATAATTGTGCCGAGTTGTGGTAGCACAAGCTTTCTCAATTCCAAGCCGGCTTGGCTTTGGGGTCTCAACAGACAGAGATGAGCGAAGGTCAAGGTTGAAGGTCACCTATAAAATGGTGGCGGATTTTCTGCACCTGTGCAACCCCAAATCGGCAAAAGTATCCACCCTGCTTAATGCAGCAGCATAGTACCTATATGTTTCAACTCAGTTGGGGAAACTATGAGAAGATCAAAAAATTGAGCGGTCAGTAAATAGACTTTTGATGACCATATATGGGCATAAATGCAGCCCTCGCTACTACAGGTGAAAAACGGTATAGCATGACGCATGACGGTACCTGCTGCATCGCATCCCCTTATCGGAGAGAAAAGGCTTCCATTTTCCACTAGGAATTAACGTGATTTTGATTAAATTTGGCAAATTCGCTCGAAAATGGCTATAGGAAAACAGCTTTTCTGCAGGTTCTGGGTATCACAATCAGCTGGCCATTCCATAAATGGAATGATGTTTTGAAAAGAAAATTGTTTTAAGATTTAATTTAATAACAATAAACAAAGATATTGTATCCTAAAATTACAACATAACCACAAATACTTAGTAAAAGGATTAACAATATAATAAAAATAATGACATTTTAAAACCACGGTGCTGCTTACATTTTTTGGCGCATCTGTTTCAATCCGCCATATTTGCCAATCACTGTTTGACCTTGTATTATAACTCTGCGATTTACAGCCGCCAGTGCATCGTGCACCTAGTGAGTGTAGTCCTTGTGTGGTAAAAAACATTATTATGCCTTATTTTTCATTTGAATGCTAGGATGCATGGAAAAGATGAAGATTTATGATTTTATGACCATATATAGTCATACTCATCACCCCGCCCACTCCAGCCGTTAATTGGCTGATCAAATTTTAGTTTAGCGCCCCATAGTTTCCCCAACTGAACTTCAACAGAGCAGGTAGGCATGATGCCAATATCATGGCACTCACAAATTAGAATCATCTTGATTCACCAATGCGAGGATATTGGGTGTAAATTGAGTGAAATTTTAGCATTTTTACCACAATTGACGATTAAAAGCATTGACTCGTTGAACAGCCAGCTCTATCTCAAATCCTAGTGGGACAGGGACTTAATTTAAGGATATATATCATTTCATCTGAAGATATCAACTGGTTTTATTGATACATTTGTACAATTGTCAAAATAAGACAAAAAATTAAAAATTACACTCTTGATCTTACCTGCTTATTCACATCGACTGCTTCAACTTTGCTTCCCATTTTGTCCTCTTTTTGTGTGTGATAGACTGAAAAATAAAAGGCTCTGGAAGTAACTGAGATTTATGGCAGGTGTTTTAACAAAATTTTCAATAAATCCGCTCAAACTCCGCAACCAACACCCGTCCGCCAAACGTCCGCAGTTCACAACACTGGAAAGACTCTACGCTGACGGACCAAAATGAAGCATGCCCAAACATTCTACCACATAAAATATTTGCTAATAAAATTTAAATGTTGTCCATTCACACTCAACATGCCTGAAAAATTCTTTTAAAATTTTTTAAATGGTTGTTCAAAAGATTTGATGAATGAAAACAGAGTAAAAGCCAGAATACTTAAAAAAGAATTGAAGCATGACAACAATATCATATGATACGAAGTAGGTAGCCGCAGCTAAATAAAAACAGCTAATGCCAGTAAGGATCATAAGCACAAAATGGACTACTGAGAGGAACCATGTGAGCGAATAAAAGAATGCTGAGTTTTTTTTTGCAAAAGTATATTGAGATAACCTACAGGTCTAAAGTTTAAAGCTTGTTGGCGACGGAAATGACCGCGCTGCTTTTGCGAATTCGCCTACAAATAATTGACAGGTCAAGGTGTGTGGCAATGGTTATTAGTATAGGACATGCTAGGGATTAGGGATTGTCTCATCAATTTCACTCCAAATATTTTTCCAAATCAATTACTTCAGCCTCTAAATTTTTTGGCTGATTCCGGACCGGACCCCGTACCTAATAGGTTCGGTAATCGGTACCTAGAATGTAGAAAGTACCTACCTACACTGAAAAATTTTTTTACTCAGGCCAGGCATTACTCAGTAATAACTCATGAAGAAACTCAGTGAATACGATAGTGGTGCTCACTTATTGGCTGATCTAACTCACATCACCAGGGTGACTTCGTTATGCGTGAGTTCTGAGTGCTTAGTTTCGTGAATTCGAACTGAGTCGGAAATGAGTTTTGCTTGGGCAAATCTAGTTTCCTGCGCAATGCATGAGTTCTCGCGAATTCACGTGCAGTTGTGCGTGAGGTACCCCCGGCTTGAAGATGCGCGCATGCGCGGCAGGGCGAGTTTCCTGCGTGATGCGTGAGTTCGCGTGATGAGTATTATAGCCGTTGCGTTCGAAAACCGCGGCGCGCGCTTCAGTCCGTTGTGGCGCGGTGACTCGCGTAGTTCACGTTGAATTGTTGAGGCTATTGTGAAATTATGCAGGAGAGTGCAGGAGCGGGGAAGGCGTGCAGCGAAGGATGGGACGGGTAAGTTATCTGTGAAGAGCTCGGTGATTGTCGATGAAGCTTTTATCAATCGCATGCGCCGCGGAGAACAGGGAGGTGAACGGATGGACCAGCAGACATTCCCCGCCGGCGTCAGGAGTTCGGTGCCAACCGTGAACGGCGGAGCAGATCGATCGAGAAACTGAGGGATACCTACCCGGCATAGTTCGAGAAAGAAGAGGTGAGTTATGTTATATTTAAATTAAAAAAAACATGTTTGTGGGATAATGTTGTCCTTATCCTAAAAGAACGTCCATTTGACCCTTTTTACTTCTTTAAACAAGAACTCCGTCACGACCCGATGTTTTTTTTTGGGGGGGGGGGGGGCGAAGGTTGTTTGAAGTCGATTCTTTCCATGCAGCACCCATAGGCACAATGTTAAAAATGTAAAATATTGGGGGTCACGTCCCCCGTACCCTTCCCCCCGGTGGTGGAGCCCATGGTCTTAATTCCGCTCGCTGAACCGTTTAAGATTCTTTTGTCTCGTTTGTGCTTATTATTTTTCCGACTGTTATTATTTTTTTCCGACTGTTTTTTTTTTAATGCCTACACACATATTTTCGTACACTATTCGATTTCAGCGAGCATTTTCAACCTTTCTTACATATTAGATTATTAGATACCGCGGCGAGACGCGTTTGGACGTGACATAATTATTTCCATTACTGTTAAGTATAACACATTTTATGTGATTGTTTCAAGATGATTTTAATATTGGACGCCCATGGAAGTGTTTTGCGAGACTAAAACCCGTCTGTTAAAGGGACCCTCCCACCTTAACATTCGATTTGGGTTGAGATAGCCAAAATGGGGTCCCTGGCTCACAATTACCGGTTTCGGCACTCACAACATCGAGAAATGCCTTAAATCGGAAATATTGAATTTCAAAATTGCAGCATTTTGATTCAGAGGGGCTAATGCATAGGAATACCCCTCTGAATGTGTGACGGCAGCGCAGATATCTAACGATTTTTAAATATTTGACTAAAACGTTTTGTAGCACGCGGTGGTATATGCTGCTTTGCGCGCAACAAGTGCCGCACTTTCAGCTGCCAAACTATTGCTTCCAAATAAAGTCGCTAGGAACAGCGGAGATCCCAAAAAGTAAACAAAAGTAAAAGTCTAATATCTTGAAAACCGGTGAATATTTTTCGGTGAAATTTGGTAGATATTCGTTTTCGCTCTTTCTGAACCGAGCGACATCACTTTCATGCCAATTCATAAACTTTTTTGAAGGTGGGAGGGTCCCTTTAAGGTGACCATCCCACCTTGACCCGCGCTGTGCTTGGTGTTGTTTTACGCCCTCCCCCCCCCTGCCCCCTCAGGTTTTTCGCGAATATCTAAGAACGGCGGCGCGCAGCGCCACCATTTTCAGCACACCTGCTCATACATTTTTTTCTGCATATGAAGAAATTTTAGACCCAGGTCGTTCAAGGTCAGGTCACGTCAAATGACTTAACATCAGAAAAATTTCAATGGTCGCTGACGATCGCACCGTTCGCAACGTGCCATGGAAACCGTTCGATATTTTTGTCATTTTCGCTCAGGGAATTCACCGCTCGATTTCACACCAGTTTGAGGTAAAATGTCAAAAAAATATCGAACGGATTTCATTTTATAGCGTTTTTGATACTGTCCCAACTCCCATGTCTCAAGTATCAACCTTACGGCATGTATAAAATATATTTGCTAGTGCAATAAAACACCTCATATGTGTTCAGCTTGACGGTTTGGATCGACTGATATGCAACATGACCTGGTCAGGTCAACCTGAGGTCAAGTTTTAAAAATGGCCTTTCAAGGCCTAACTATAGTTCATTCGTCCCGACGAGAGGAACACTATGCTAACAGCAAAATAAATGTCGTGACTCTTGAGTGGAAAGTATTACAGAAAACATTTTGGTAAAAACGGCTTTTATAGAGTTTTTGCTCTCTGGAGGCTTAATTGTTGACCTGAGGTCAAATCTGAGATCAAACGCAAGCAAAAAAAAAACGTCGAAAGGGCTTTTGACTGCATTTTTCCGCGGGCAGCTCTTTTGGTTCCGAGTTAAGCACCAGTTTTTCGAAAATATTGAAATAAGCAAAATTTGGCCTTTCCTGACCTCTGGTGACCTGGCACTTGACTTGACCTTAAAAATTACCCAAGTATTTCCTTAAATATCTTTTATGCTTTTTCGAATGCTGCTTACTGCGTGTCGCTACGTGGCCCAACCCCAACAGCCGAGTTAGAAGAGGGGACGTGAAGACGACCCCCTCCCCCCGCCCCCCCAGTACATCACGGTAAACTCAGAGCACCAGCACGGCGCGGTTTAACATTAATTTTGAGCTGAAGTAACTTGATAACTTTTGATATTTCAATCAACTTGCATGCCCTATAACTTCCGTTTCTCTTACTGGCAAAAGAAAATCTGACTTTTTTATTGTGTTTTCAGGGAACGGCCCATTGAGCCTCCTCTGCATCTTGGCGGAGAAGGCGTCAGTGGTGGCGTACACGGGTGACGAAAATTTGGATCACCCCTATCATAACAAGTCCGAAGGAAACGAACGGTGCCGCCTCATCGTGGAGCGAACGGAATTCTTGTGGGGATCCATGGTTTGGAAGGGAGTCTTTTGCTGTGGACGACGGCGCACTTTGTGCTCAGTCAACAAACGGCGCACAAAGTGCGAAACACGCTGTGGTTTGTGTGTATCCATGTGCTCCACACACCATTCAATGCTGAGCGCCAGCCACCTGTAGCCGCGAAGACTGAGGTCGAGAAGCTGGCAAAATAGTGAAGCTGAGCTGACGTGGAGTCGATCCCCCCCCCCCCCCGACGCAGTTTGGCGTGTGTCAGAATTGAAATACAGCGCAATGCGACCGTTTCTACAAACATGTATTTCTTGTAAGGGCTGGGGCGAATAGTGCAAGACTAGACGTTGGTCGGGCATGGTATAACACAGATATGTATGCTGGTTTTGGGCAATGATTCGTTATATATTGGCCAATCCCAATATATAGACTAGCTGCCTGGTAGTGGCTGTTGTATCAGCATCATGCATGCATATTGCATAATGCTGATGCGGCAGCTGTTATCATGGGCGGCGAGCCTATACATTGGCTTGAGCCCATATAAAACTAATCAGATCGGCCGTTTCAGGCGGCGCCTGAGTAACACCCGAGTATCGTATGAGTTATCGATGTGAGTACGTCCTGAGTACAGCCCTAGGTTTCACTGAATAGCCGATGAGTTCCAACTGAGTTATGGCCGTACTACCACCTGAGTTATACATTAGTACCAGCTGAGTTACATGTGAGTTACTTCCTAGTTTTTCATGAGTAATGACTTACTAATACCTGAGTTTGGCCTGAGTTGTCTGAGAAGGACATGAGTTACGCATGAGTACTTACTGAGTTTTATCTGAGTTTTACCATCGGACAAAATGGCAACTCACTTTGTTACTCACATGCTACTCACTTGCAATGAGTTTTGCCCGAGTTTTACCTGCGTTCCGCCCTGAGTTTTACCTGAGTACGCGGATTTAGAGTGAGTTTTACCATTGGACAAAATGGCAACTCAGTCATTACTCAGAAAAGTGAGTAATTTTTTTTTTCAGTGTACCTAAATAAACGGCGCATTACTGATGTTTCGCTAATTGTAAATCAGAACGGGCCTGGAAACGCCAATAAGATAGTTAGAACCTTTCACAAGAGCGTTCAAACTTCAATGTTACCTAAGCAATAAGAAAGGTACCTCAACGTTTCTTTGATGACGTTGTGGGACGCAGTAACACTCTGCAGACTGTGCAATGCTTGACATAGCCGAGACTGACCGTATTGATGAACTGAATACAGCCAAGCCATTCCGGCATTCCTATAGCTAAATATCTCCCGAATAGCCGGTCCCCCAGCTCTAGAGTCTAAGTAGAGTACCTATTGGTCTCTGTGGCGTAATAGCACAGGTCCAGTTTTACCGAGTCCGCGGGTTCGAAGCGCAACGGGCGCTCGATATTTATGAGCCTCCTGACGGGTATGGCCGTGTGGTCAATGGTTGCGTTTTGTGCCAGAGCCGTAACCAGCCGAAGTCAGTGAGGACCTGAGACTGGGACTGAACGGCCGTGCGCGGATAAGTGCGTACGTTTAACTTCGGGCTTAAAATTTTGCCAGCGATAGTTCTTCTTCATGGCGCAGTGCAGTGCCATTTTGGCCTTTAGGGGCCTGATGCTTCAGGTGCCGAAAGAAAAAGCACCCCCTGGCATATTGACAATTCACATATGAGGGCAAACAAAGGTAAACCTCAACCCGGGTGGTATCGGCGCGACAACAAAAATAGGTGTATGGTAGAACCAGAAGATACGAGTGAATTCACGTTTGAAATTTAACATTTTCTGGAGCTTGTGTCGTTGTCAATGTCAAAATGTGGGTTAAGTTTTGAAATGTGATAGGTATGGATGGGTTGAAATTTTGTTAATGGTGTTAAATTGTGCTAATATCTTAGAATCTTCAGATTTGGGCAGCGAAAACTCTTTAAAACAACTCGAAACTACGTTCGAAAATTAGCGTATCGGTTAATGTAAATTTATTGTTGTTGTAAGCAGTCAAATGCGTTCATAATATCACTTCGGTGGAACCAATCGGGAATACAAATTCAAGACGTGTTATCGGTGCGTTTCAGTTGTCCGCCCAGAAGATTCAACTCCGGGCGTAAATACCTACACATTACACACCTCTTACAAACGAGGTCCATGTTTGAACTGTATACACCGAACAGATAAAGACTGTAAAGACAGGCCATATTCAACACAGCTTCACCCCGGATTCAGCCCAGATTCGGGACACCTCGCATCAAGCTAAAACTTGCACTGCACACAATAGGGCCGTGGCATACACAATCAACAGCCAGAGCCATTCAATTCAGTGGCACTCCCAGCCGTTTGACCTGCAGAGGTCAGCAAAGGTCACGTTATCTAAACCTGCGCAGCGGTTTTACCACCCAGTTGGGCTGGGCTGAATACGCTGCGACGTAGGGCGTGTCGTTTATTTGTACATTTTGTCCTGCCGAGGTCAAACGTGGTCAAATATCGAGAGGCAGTTTTCGGGAAAACTACTAAAGGCCCACGAGCTACCCGATGGTATGCTTTGATTTAAAATTCGGTCGATCTTTACACTCGAGAACTGCTGTGCAATTTAGACATGGGGTAAGGTGCCTAATTTACTAATTAGCGACCCTTTCCTACTTGCGACCTATCCTCTCTACAGAAAAGCTGGCAAGAGAAATCGGGTTAAAAACAACGTCAAAAGGTCTGCCATACTCCGGTTATCAAACTTAATTATTTTCCAGTTGTCAGTGCTTCTGTTGGGACGTTTTAGTGGAGTTTAAATAAAAATGGCCAGTTTCTTGTCCAAAACTAGTGCATTTGGTCCCTATCTCATGAAAAGCGATGCGCAATAAGATGATGCTCCTTTTTTATTCTGAATCGACAATCCTTTTTCAATTGATTACCGTTTTCCCGTAGTGAATCGCTTAGCTGTGCACTGCATGGTGGTTCAAATTAAGGGGGTCGCTAATTAGGCACCTTACCCTAACCCGCAAATGACCTTAGGTCAACGCATGACCTTGACTCTTGAGAGGTTAAATTGCTAGTGGGAATGTAAGATAAGATTCTGGCGAGTTGCGTGGTGCCGTTTTTAGCGCTCTATCTCTACTGGGTGGGCCACAAACTGCTGTGCAGGTTTAGGTAACATGACCTATGCTGACCTCTGCAGGTCAAACGGCTGGGATTTGGGAATGCCACCGAATGGCTCTGGCTGTGGGTTGTGTATGTCATGGCCTAGTACTGTGTGCAAGCCTCAGCTTGATGCGAGGTGGTCCGAATCTGGGCTGAGTCCGGGCTGAGTCTGGGCTGGGCTGAATATGGGCTGTCTTGATGCATCGGCTACAAGCGGCATAAGTGATCACTGGCTCAACTGTTGCCGCTGGTCGTGCTCGTCCATAACACCATACCAGTTATCCTCTCGTCACAATGAACAGAAGTCACAAGTTTACCCGATAAGTCAACCCTCGAAGCTCATTTGTCGAGGCGAGGGTATATAGTGGTTGTTTGCTGGGAGAACTATTTGCGGGCGGACCGCCGCGCCGGTGGTGAGAGAGAGCGAGAGAGGGAGAGAGAGAGAGAGAGAGAGAGAAAGAGAGAAAGAGAGAGAGAGAGAGAGAGAGAGCGAGAGCGAGAGAGGGAGAGAGAGAGAGAGAGAGAGAGAGAGAGAGAGAGAGAGAGAGAGAGAGAGAGTGAGAGAGAGAGAGAGAGAGAATGAGAGAGAGAGAGGAGTGATGTCAGGACTACAAATAAGCCGCGCTGTGAATTGTGATGATAAAGCACGTGCTAACACCGTCACAGGCGCCGTCACAGCACTTTACCACGTCAGCGCCTTTCCTCCCCTCCCTCCAGTCCCAGCCCCTCCCCACTCCACTGCGCTGCCCCCCCCCCCCCCCCCCCCGAGACCCGAGACGGCCACCTGAACCCGTGGCCGCGCCCCGCCCTGTTGTTTCCACCACTCCCCCTTCTGAGCCGCCGCCCCCGCTGCACGGTAGGCGATCGGGCCGGTCTAGCCTCGCGAAACCTCAAAGACACTTTTTTCCGAAAATTGGAAAACAACGCATACTGGTCGACAGAAAATTCATCAAAGATTACGAATATTGCATTTGCATGGCTCAGGAGACATTTTTTCGTAGACAAAAGTATCGTCAAAGACAGCGTTCCGTAACACTTCACAAGGGGGATAATCACAGCCGATTTTTACGCTCTTTGAATATTTTGCGGAATGATGACATTGCTAGGTGTTGAGCATGCATTTTGCATGGAAAGTGAAATTTAGGTGTTTAGACGATTCCGCCATAGAAAGCAAGTAGACAAAATCAGTTCAAAATGTCTTATAATTAGGTTAACTTTTTATATTTTTTTCTACCACTGAACATTACGTTCACTGAATTAACCAAGCCCAGCAAAAAAAGTTTTACGAGGATGAACTGAAAATAATGCTGTATCGCATGCAATAAGACACTAACTATTAGGGGAGCCAGTGAAAATTTGCAGCCACTTGCAGCCCTGGCATCCAGACACTTTTTTTCTTCTAAGGGTTGGCCGTGGCTTGGTGCACTTGAGCATAAGTGGTAAATGCCCCAAAGAGTGTTTTCGCGATAGCTCAAAACACCCAGGCAATAGAGAGCTGCAACCTAGCATACCTGACCTTTGATGCACGCTGGATCTTGTGACACCAACCGCACTTTCAAGTCAGGTCAGGTCACTGACCTATGACGTCATAAATGAACTGAGTCTGCACGATCCTCAGATGTCGCAACCTTGCAACGCTCTCAGTGCCAGAGTAACTTTCACAGGGAGGTGAGACTTGCAGGACTTATTTTCCTTCAGAGGTCTTACAACTTGTATATCTCAGATTTTTCCTAAATGTCACATAAAGTCAGGTTGGTCACGTGACCTCACCTATAAGTCAATGGGGAAATATGAAAACTGTTATTTTGGCGCCAGGAATGATATTCAATTGTCTCAAATACATGGAATCGTTACTTCATTCACTCCTTGCAAGATCTGATGCTGCATTTTTGCATTGTTGACCTTGCATGACGTCATTTATGACGTCACTAGGGTCATACGAGTTTTTCGTCAATAACTCCCAATCAAATTGAGCTAGAGAGTCGACAAGGTCACCAATGGACTCCGGAAGACCTGTCGAATCGAATGATGTACGATATGACCTCCTTTGACCAACTTCGTGATTTGAAGACCTCTGACCTGACCTTGACTCGAGGTCAAGGTCAGGTTGACCTTACGGTGGCCTCACCTAAACAAAAGTATACCATTCGACGCGCCTGAGCAAGG